TGATTTTCTAGAGGCAATTACTGGTGTCTGCTAAATCACAATGTTTTCTCTTCCTTTCCTCCTCCTCCTTCTCGCCCCCCTCCCCATCACCTCCTTTATCGTGGTGTTGGGGATCAAACCCAGGACCTTGCCTATACTTTGCTCATATTATCGACCACTAAACCTACATCTCCAGCCCTTTTTCTCTTTTATTGATCACGAGTAATCACGGATAGAAGTATGACAGCATCATTGGGATTCTTCTGGGTTTGAACCCAGAGTCTTGTGCATGCAAGGTAAGTACTCAGCCTCTGGGCTCTAGCCCCAGCTCAGAGTACAATTGATAACTAAAATGAAATAAGCTTAATGCAAATAAGGAGTCATCTGTGTACACTGGTGGGCCCTCACTAAAGTTGTGAGTGAACAAAACATGTCCTCCAGTAACTATGACAATGATTATAATTGCCAGTGGTGGAAATAATTGCTGCAAGATGAACAAAACTAAAAATGACCTCTCTGTGTGAGATTAAGCTACCAGGTCTCTGTGCAGTACATTCAATATTGTGTTTGGATTTCTTTTTACCTTTACTATAGCATTTTATTAATTATTTGAGAACTTTATGCAATGCATTTTGATCATATTCACCTCCACTCTTTCCCTTAACTCCTCCTACACTGAACCCCCATCTCCCTCCCCAATTTCTGTCCTCTCTCTCATTTTAAAGTAACTGATAGAAGGTATTTTGTGCTGCTCATATACTCTGGGGTTTAGGGCCAACCACTAGAGTGTGGTTGACCTACCCGATGTTATTTAGTGAATACGCTTCCTGTATTTCTGAGATCACAAAGCCCTGTAGTGTCCTTGGCTTTCGACTAGACAGTGGTAGTCTCTGAAGCCGTGTGGAAGGGGATTTATACCTCCGCTAGAGGTTTTGAAAGATGACTATTCCATACTGAGGGTGGTGAGGACACCATGAGCATCTTGGTTACTTAGTAAGAGCCTGGAAATAGAACCAAGTGAAAAGTTGCCAGATGGGGGTTTCCTTTGTACTCAGACAGAGGCTCTCAAAGAGCCAGAAGGGGACAAGCAACCTACATTTGATTGAGAAGAGTTAAACCAACTCCAGGGCTTGCTAAGAGGTGCCCAGAACGTTTTTACAACCTGTGGTGCCTTAACAATTCCCAACAAAAGGGCCCTTGGAATTCTTTTAAATAATAAGTTTATTGAGACATAATTCATATTCCACTAATTTCATGGTGTGTGTGTGTGTGTGCGTGCATGTGTGCGTGCATGTGTGCGTGCATGTGTGCGTGTGTGTGTGTGTGTGTGTGTGTGTGCGCGTGCGTTCACGCACACCTATGTGTGGAGGGCCAAAGGACAACCTCAGGTCATTCCCTGGGTCTCTAATCACCATTTTTTGGAGACAGGGTCTCTCTGTTCTCAAACTCTTCAAATAGGCTATGTAGACTGTGTGGCAAGTGAGTCTCAGTCCCTCTTAGCCTCTCTAGCACCGGCATTTCTAGTGTGTGCCTCTGTGTCCAACTTTTTATGTAGGATCTGGGGAGCAAACGCAGGTCTCCGTGCTTATAAGGCAGGCACTTTACTATTAACAGAGTAATCTGCTTAGCCCCCATGTCCACTTTCAAAGCAGTCGATGGTTTTGAGTGCATTCATGAGGCTGTGCCACTATCTAATCTTAGAACATACTTACTATCACCACAAGAAATAGCCGTTCCCTCTCTCTCCTCCTGGTCCCTAGCAAGCACCAGTCTGCTTTCTTTTTTCCTTTCTTTCTTTCTTTCTTTCTTTCTTTCTTTCTTTCTTTCTTTCTTTCTTTCTTTCTTTCTTTCTTTCTTTCTTTCTTTCTTTCTTTTTTTTTT